GAGGAGAAACGGTTTCAGGAAAGTATTATTTCTCTTCTACTTTCTATTTTTTGTTTCCTTTCCCTGGAGATGAGATTCTTCAAATCCCGTGCTTTCTTGCTATGCATATTTGCTTTCAATATCCATTATTTGCTTTCAATTTTGACCTAATGGCAAAATTTCAGCGAATTTGTCCGATTCATGTCTTTGCTTTCAGTGGGTTTAGACCTAGTTATATTGAATTTTGCTTCCAATTTAGTACCGATGGTGTAGATTCCCTTTTTTTAAAAAAAAAAAAAATTCTGTTTGAACACTCATAATTATTGTGTCTACTTTTTACATGTTAGAAACTGAAGGTCTTAGAGTGTTGATGCATATTGAAATTAAAAAAAAAGAGAAATAAGACGAAATTAGTTAGCAGTTGTTTCTCCATGGTTGTTTCAAGCACTTTTGTACCTCTACAAAGATTTCATATCCATATCAGTAGGCCAAGAATTCACAAACCGGTATACGAAGGCTGTGAGTTGACCTATGAAGTCCCTTTAATCCTCGAAACATGTATGAATGAATTCCTGAGATTAAAACAACATCAAACTCAAATTTGCATTCTTGATTCTTCGAATTTAAATTTTGGCTCTATTGAAAGCCCTTCAGTTTATTACTATCCGTTGCACCTTCTTAAGTGCAAAAGGAACCAATTGTGCATGCCTATCTCCTTTTTTCTGAAAATTGAAATCTAGTGATTTTTTAGGCCCACACTACTATAGGCATCACCCACTTAATTCCAGTAATTTCATTAGTCTATATCAACAATCTGCGGCCATCTCCCAATTAGATTTCAAATTGTCTAGTGTGATTTTGTGTTGTCTTCGTTGGGTTTCAGCCTTTAATGTTATGTGGCATAATTCAAAAACATAAACTGATCTCATGGACTTATTGTTCACTTTGTTTCATATTTCAGTGTCAAAATGACTAAAATCAATACAAGTATTAATCAAAGAATTTAAAGCAGGCTGCATGTAATTTTTTACTAACCATTTTGGACTCAGATAGTGTAGTTGCTTGACTCAAAGCACCTTGTGGTTTAAATGACGTGCCGTTTGCCCTATATGGCTTATTTCATCGACTCATATACCTTTCTATTCGATAGGGAATGAGTTCTTTTTTTTGTAAGCCAAAAAGGGATAGATGGTACCATATGGAGTTTTTGAGTCTTTCAAGTACACTATCAGCGCCCAGAATTCTTTAGTGAATAATTTCTTTGTTGCCTACATTAAAATCTTTGGCCCATACTTTTAATGATTTTAGACATGTTGAGACTGAAATATCAAACGTAACTGCACGATCAGTACTTGTGTCAGTTTATATTTTTGAACTATGCTGCTTATCAGTAGAGATTGAAACCCCATAGAGAGAATAATGAATTAGACTAGAAAATTTTAGTTCTGATTTCGAAATGGCTGTAGATTGTTGTCAGAGACAAATGAAATTTTTGGGATGAAATGGCTGTTGATTGCTGTTTTTTTTTTCAAATTTGTTTGAAGACTCGTAATTGTTGTGTCTACGTTTTACATTGTATGTTAGAAACTGAAGGTCTTAGAGTGTTCTGTCTACCTCTCTGTTTTGGTTCTGGTTTAAGCAATATTACCATAATCTTTTATGTTGATGGAATTTGAAATTTAAAAAAAGAGAAAATAAAATGAAATTAGTTAGTAGCTGTTTCTCCATGGTTGTTTCATGCTTGAAGGGTAGTCATATGGAGTTCTGTATGGTGGCTCTTTATTCTCTAATTTGGGTTTTGATATCTCATAGTAAACGGCATAATGCAGAAACATAAATTTAGCTCGTAGACTGCTTGTTAATGTATTTTTTTCGGTATTTATAATATCAAGACAATTAACAAAAGCCAGTGAAATATAAATTAAGGAATATAGTGTTGGCAACTAGTAAGAGATTGACTAGATTTTATGGCCATAGATAGTGGAGGTGCTCGAATCACAAAGCTCTAATGGTTTAAATACTGTACCATCTGCCCTTCATGGCTTGTTTTATCTACACGTAAATCTATCCATTTGGTGGGTTAATGGGTACTTTTTTTCGTAAGCTGCAAAGGGGTAGAAGGTATATTTTTAAACCAAACGGAGCTTTTGAGTCCCGCAACTAGACTATCCAAGGCTGAACCAAGGCTGAAAAGTTAACTTAATACTTATTGCTTACTTTTAACACTTTGATTAGTTTTACTAACGCTAATCATTTTTAGTTTGAAGTATGGAGAACTTTAGATTTTCTGTTGCATGGTCTGTTCTCACTGTTGAATTGTACAATTTGTCTTTTCTTGCTTTATTTTGCACCAGCTGTCTTTTGTTCTGCTTAGTACACTTGTGAAAGACATGTAGCTTGATTACAATAGTGCTACCCAGGCATGTTCTGTAGTAATTTGTCTTGTGAATGGTGGTATTCCTTTGTCATATTGCATTTGATATTTAATTGATCTTGATGATTATATGGGGATTCTAGAAAAAAAAAAAGAAAGAGATTTGTTTGAGTAGCTACAGACTTAGAATGGATTGCTAATAATTTCTTTAGTTGTTAACTGGCAACAAAACTGTTGCTGCTTTCATTTAGGCTTTGAACTTTTGCTTGTGACAATACACATGAGCCACTTTTTGGTTTCACTGTATATCATCTGCCCAATTGTTGGGTAAAAAGTATACTTTTGGTTTCGCTTTTGGTTTTACCCAATTGTTGGGTAAAAAGTATATGTTTGCCAGTCAACAGTATCTCTACTTGTTTCTAGCTTCCCTCTTTTGTCAATGAGGAATTCCTGAATGAAATCCTACTGCCATTCTTAAATGAATAGGCCTCTCTTTTCCCTCCAGGTTTTCTTTCAGATGACTCAACAAATTCTAGCTTTGTTGCTGATTTCTCCATTTGCTCCTACTTTTTCCTTGCAGGAAATTACTTTAACAAACTTGTTTCCTTCCCTTTTCCTTTTCTTTTATCTTTTTTTTTTTGGAATCCTTGGTTTCTTCACTATTATACTTTCAATTCCGTTCATCTGATGCCCATTTGTTCTTCATACTTAAATAGGAGTCAATCTGGGTATACCCTCTTGCTGAAAAGTGTAATTTCATAGTATAGTTGTATATGCATAGTTGTCTTCTACTTCAAGGTAGGAGTTGGGCTTCTTATGGTTTTGTTTTTTGTCCTGCTTTTCCTTCTTGTATTTGATTGTCCATGCTCAATAAATACATGTTAGAAATTGAAATAGAAAGATATACTCCTCGGAAGACCTGATTTTTGAACTCTTCTTGTAGGTTTAGAATTTATTTTACCCATTTTTCTAAATATCCATATATCTTTTTGGTTATTGTGAAATCATTTAAAGAAGACGAAAAAAAAGAAACTTCCAGACCTCTTAATATGGACATAGGTGATTTATTATTCATTAACTGGCAAATAGGATGAACAGTTATTACTGTTAAGTTCTGCAATTTCGACTTTCAAATACCTGCACGATCTGTTCTCTCCTATAGGAGTCCTTATTTCTTAGAATTCCTTTACAACTCGAATTCAGAAGATACATTGGAGGCAAAAAAGTATCATGATATAACTGATGCTTCGATATGACTTAGCAATTCTCTATGCTGCTCATTTGGACTATTGGACATTGTTGTGCTTTCTTTGACATAGCTTCTGAAAGTCATATGTCAGGGAAGAACTTTCAGCTTCCTGACAGCCCAGAGTGATGGGCCTTTCTATCCATCATGACTTGTCTTCTACTCTGATTTTCCTCTTCAATTTTCTTCAAAATTTTTCATGGACTAATTACTCTTCCCAAGACCCTGTCTTTTGGTTTAATGTCTTAGGTAAAGCCCCCCCTATTTAGTAGGTGATATCCCATTTTCCCATTTATGGCTTATCTTCTTGTAAACCTTTGAGTATTTCATAGAGACATAATGGAATAGAATAGCATATCACAAGCACTTTTGTACCCCTACAAAGATTTCATATTCATATCAGTAGGCCAAAAATTCACAAAGTGGTATACAAAGGCTGTGAGTTCACCTATGAAGTCCCTCCAATCCTCTAAACACGTATGAATGAACTCTTGAGATTAAAACAACATCAACTTCAAATTTGCATTCTTGATTCTTTGAATTTAAATTGTGGCTCTATCAAAAGCCCTTCAATTTATTACTATCCGTTGCACCTTTTTAAGTACAAGAGGAGCCAATTGTGCATGCCTATCTCCTTTTTTCTGAAAATTGAAATCTAGTGATTTTTTTGGCGCACACTACTATAGGCATCACCCTCTTAATTCCAATAATTTCATTAGTCTATATCAACAATCTGCAGCCATCTTCCAATTAGATTTCAAATTGTCTAATGTTATTTTTTGTTGTCTTCGCTGGGTTTTAGCCTTTAATGTTATGTGGCATAATTCAAAAACATAAACTGATCTCATGGACTGATTGTTGCACTTTGTTTCATATTTCAGTGTCAAAATGACTAAAATCAATACAAGTATTAATCAAAGAATTTAAAGCCGGCTGCATGTAATTTTTTACTAACCATTTTGGACTCAGATAGTGTAGTTGCTTGACTCAAAGCACCTTGTGGTTTAAATGACGTGCCGTTTGCCCTATATGGCTTATTTCATCTACTCATATACCCTTCTATTAGATAGGGAATGGGTTCTTTTTTTGTAAGCTGAAAAGGGATAGATGGTACCATATGGAGTTTTTGAGCCTTTCAAATACACTATCAGCGGCTAGAATTCTTTAGTGAATAATTTCCTTATTGCCTATGTTAAAATCTTTGGCTAATAAATTTAATAATTTTAGACATTTTGAGACTGAAATATGAAAGCTAATTGCCCAATTAGTACTTGTGTCAGTTTATTTTTTTAAACTATGCTGCTTATCAGTAGAGATTGAAACCCCACAGAGAGAATAATGAATCACAGTAGAAAATTTTAGTTTTCTTTTAGAAATGGTTGTAGATTATTGTCAGATACAAATGTATTTTTCAGAATGAAATGGGTAATGCCTAGAGTAGTGAGGGCCTAAGATGGCTGGATTTTAATTTCTAGAAAAGAGGAGATAGGTGCGCATTTGACTTCTCTAGAAATGATAGTGCCATGGATACAGACAAAGGCTTTCATTAGAGCCAAAGTTACAATTTTAAGAATCAACAACGCAATTTTGTTTTTGATATCATTTGGGTCTAAAGAGTTTGCTCTTGTGTGTTCCAATTCTTGGAAGGATTTCGCTGGTCAACTAGACAGGGCTTTGAATACCTCTTAGGTGAGGATGTTGTAGTATAGTGTTTAAGTTGAATATGCATGAGGAACTAAGTAGCGCATCATTTTGGATTTCTGAGATGTTTATGGCCTTTGTCTTGTCTAGATGAGTTAATTTGAATATATCTGTGGATTTGTTACAATTTTGAGGTTTGTGGTCAAATAAATGGTTAAGAAATAAATTTTAATTAGAAACTCTGAAACTCAGGTTTTAGAAATTGCAGACATTTGCAAGAAAGCATATTGCGCTTTGATTCAAGTGGAGGATGTTTTTGACCATTCCACAAGGTTTCTGGTTAAAAGTGCTCAGAATATACTAGGTTAGAAAGAAGTTAGGTAGATTTGTAGAGTTTTGCCCTTTCATGCAAATATAGGATTCTAATTAGGGTATCAATCGGATATTCAAATGGAGAAAGAAGGAACAAAGTATATCTGCATGTTGTTAGATTCTAATTAGTGTAGGTGGGTTACTTAAGAGTTTAATTGTGGGTTGTTGAATATTTGGAATATTGCCAATTAATTTTATGATAAATGAGCTGTGTTGTGGTCAAACAAATGGTGAAAAGAAAAAAGGCATATAGAACATAAAGTTAGGTTTAAGAACATAAAGTCAACAAGGTTCATTTGGAGCCTTTTTTAACCATTCTACAAGGCTTAAGGGAATGATTAACCAAATAATACTAGGTTTAAGAAATCCCAAGAATTGCAAGTCAGCAAGGCTCATTTGGAGTCTTTTTTAGCCATTTTACAAGGCTTAAGGCAATGATTAACCAAATAATACTAGGCTTGTTTAGAGGTTTGTTGATGCTACACAAAGATTGGTTCCTTAGCAGGAAATTAGAGGGCTTGTACACAAGGATGCATTGCATTTTGGATTCTATCTAATTTAGGTGAATTACTTGGGATTTATCTGTGGGTTTGTTTTCACAAATTTTGAGCATTGTTAATGATTTTATGGTAAATAAGTAGCACTGGGGTGAAGAAAACAGAGAAAGTTAAGGCAATGATAAGTAGCACAAGGTTCATTTGGAGTCTTTTTTAGCCATTCTACAAGGCTTAAGGCAATGATTAACCAAATAATACTAGGTTTGTTTAGAGGTTTGTTGATGCTGCACAAAGATTGGTTCCTTAGCAGGAAATTAATGGACTTGTACACAAGGAAGCATTGCATTTTGGATTCTATCTAATTTAGGTGAATTACTTGGGATTTATCTGTGGGTTTGTTTTCACAAATTTTGAGCATTGTTAATGATTTTATGGTAAATAAGTAGCACTGGGGTGAAGAAAACAGAGAAAGTTAAAATGGTATAGGGGATCTGAGACTCTACTTCTAGAAATTTCAGAGATTTGGAAAAAACCATATTCCATCAAGGTCCATTTAGAGGTTGATTTGACCATTCTTCAAGGTTCAAGGCAAAAGTAATTAGACATACTAGCCTTAGTAAGAAGTTAGGTGAATTGTGTAGACTTGTCCTTTGCAAGCATTTACAGGATTTTCATGCACTGATGTTGCATTTTGGCATTTGATTTGAGTATGGAAATGAAACGACAGGCTGAAAATAGTATATGCATGTTTTCTTGGATGTTGATATTTTGTTGGACTAATTAATCTAGATGGGTTACTTGGAATCTGTTTGGGTTTATTAAAAATCTTCAATATTGTTAATGAATTTTATTTATGGTGATAAGTACTGTTCTGGAGAAAAGAAAATAGGTGAATTAGAAACTAAAATTTAGGTTTTAGAAATCCCAACAATTACAAGAAAGCATTTGCAAGAAGCTTTATTTGGAGGTTGTATTTTCATCATTATACGGGGCTTAAGGCAGAGAGTTACCAGTTTGTACTGGGTTTGCTGCTAAGGAAACGATTATGCTTAGAAATTAGCTAGCTTTGTACCGAGTTTGGTTCCTTTGCAGATGAGTTGCTTGGGATTTAAATTGAAAATCCAGATGGTGACACAAGGAACTAAGTATTGCATCTTCTTGATTCTATCTAATTTAGATGAGTTACTTGGGATTTATTTGTGGGCGTGTGACTAATGTTTAAGTGTTGTCAATGATATTATGGTAAGTAATTTTGTGGTGGAATTAGTGGAGAAAATGATGATGGTATTCAAATCTGAGTCTCAGCTTCTAGAAATTATAGAGATTTACAAGAAAACATATTGTAACAGGGTCCATTAGAGGTTGATTTTGGCGATTCTACAAGTTTTAGCAAAGAGTACCGGTACATGGTAGGCTTAGTAAGAAGTTAGGTGCATTGTGTAGAACTTTGTCCTTTGCATGCAAACATTGGAGTCTCATTTAACGACTTTGTACTTTAGCATTTGATTTGAATATTCTAATGGACCACCAGTTGAAAAAAGTATATGCACATCTCATTGGATTCGGGGATTTTGTTGGACTCTCTTTCTTTAATCTTGGTGAGTCACTTGGAATGTCTTTGGGTTTGTTAAGAATCTGGAATATTGTCAATAGATTTCAGATAAGTACTGTACAGGAGAAAAAATGTTCAATTAGAAACTCAACCTTTGGTTTCCCAAATCCCAAGAATTGCAAGAAAAAGGTAAATTTTTTTTGGGGGGGGGTTTGCCCATACCATTTTATAAGGCTTAAGACAATGATTAAATAGAACATAGTAAGTTTGGTTAGAAGATTGCTAGCGTTGTTACGAGGATTAAGGCAGTGATCAAATAGTGCTTAGTGCAGAATTTTCTCACCATTTTACAAGGATTAAGGCAATGATCAAATAGAACAGACAAAGTTTAGTTAGAAGTTTGCTAGTGTTGTGCAGAGTTTGGATCCTTTGCAGGCAATTAGAGGACTGATATACAAGGACATTGCACTTCAGGATTTATATTGAATGTCTAGATGGTGACTGAGGAACTATGTATTGCATCTTTAGGGATTCTATCCAAGTTTCTTGGGATATATATGTGGGTTTGTTACAAGTTTTGAGTATTGGCAATGATTTTATGGTTGATAAGTAGCATAGTGGTGAAATAAATAGAGAAAATAATTATGGCATTTCGAATAGAAATTTCAGAGATTACAAGAAAGCATATTGTACCAAGGTCCATTTAGGAGATTTTTTTTAACAAGGTTTTAGGCAAAGGGTAACCAGAACTTAGTAGGGTTAGTAAGAAGTTAGGTGAACCATGCAAAGTTTTGTCCTTGGTCAGCAAATATAGGACTCATATGCAATGAAGTTAGCTTAAGCATTTGATTTGAGTATTCATATAGGCGACATGTGAAACAAAGTGTATGGTGCATCTTGTTGGATTCCAAAATTTTGTTGGACTCTAAATGGTCTAGGTGAGTGACTTGGAATCTATTTGAATTCATAAAAAATCTGGAATACTGTTAAGGAATTTTATGGTAGATGAGTAGTCTACTGGAGAAAAGAAAAATAGGTCAATTAGAAACTGAAAGTTAAAGGTTTAGAAATTTTAAAGAATCACAAGAAAGCATATTGCAGCACGGTTCATTTGGACGTTGTCTTTTTACCATTCTACAAGGCTTAAGATAGTTTTTAGAACATACTGAGTTTGATTATAAGTTTGCTGGTGTTGTGTAGAGTTTGGTCCTTTTACAAGCAATTAGAGGACTTGCAGACAAGGAAACTGCACTTTAGGATTTAACTTGAATGTCCAGATGGTGACATGAGGAACTAGTATTGCATCTTTTTGGATTCTATGTAATTTAGGTGAGTTACTTGGTATTTATCTGTGAGTTTGTACAAATTTCGAGTATTGTCAATGACTTATTGTTGATAAGTAGTATTGTGCTGGAATTAACAGATAAAATAAAACTGGTATTTCAAATTTGGGACCCAGCTTCTATAAATGCTAGAGATTTACAATAGCAAGCTATTCCAAGGTCCATTGAGAGGTTGTTTTCAGTTTAAGGCAGTGAGCAAACCTCAACATACTAGGCTTGGTAAAAACTTAGGTGAATTGTGCAGAGTTTCATCCTTTGCTGGCATATATTGGACTCTCATGCATTGTTGTTGAAGTTTAGCATTTGATTTGAGCAGTCAAATGGGTGGAAGGTGGAATAAAGTATATGCACATCTTGTTGGACTCTAATTAATCGAAGTGAGTTACTTGGAATCTATTTGGGTTGTTAAAGACTTCAAATATTGTTAAAAACATAGTAGTGTTCTGCAGGAAAGACGAAAAGGTCAATTTGAAACTAATATTTAGGTTCTAGATGTCCCAAGAATTAGAAGAAAGCATATTGCAGCAAGGTTCTATTATAGGTTATATTTTAACATTCTACGGCCTTTATGGCAAAGTGTAACAAGAACATACTAACTTTACTAAGTTGGTAGATTTATCTAGAGTTGAGTTCCTTTACGGCAAATATAGGACTCTTATGTAAGGGCATTGCACTTTTAGGGTTTAACTTGAATATTCAGATGGTTTATATGTGCTTGTTGGATTCTGAGATTTAGTTGGATTCTATCTGATGACGGCAAATTACATCTATTTGGGTTGTTAAGTATCTGGAATATTGTCAGTCTGTTTTATGGTTGATAAGTGGTGTTATGGAGAAAAGAAAAAAAGGTCTACTAGAAATTGGCTCTTAGTTTTTAAAATCCCAAGAATTACCAGAAAGCATAAAACACCTAAGATTCATTTGGAGGTTGTTTTTTACCATTCTACAGGGTTTATCGCAATAAGTAACAAGAACATACTAATTTTATTGAAAAGTCTGTTTGATTGTGCAAAGCTTAGTTCCTTTGATTGCAAATATAGGATCCTTATGTAAATGCATAGGATTTTAGGATTTAAATTGAATATTCATCTTTTTGGATTTTAGGATCAGGATACTAGGAATTATGTATTGCATCTTTTTGGATATTGAGATTATTTTGGATTGTGTGTAACGAAAATGAGTTATTTGGAATTTATTTGTGGGTTTGTTCTAATGTTGGACTATTGTCAATAGTTTTATGGTGGATAAGTAGTGCTCTGGTGAAACAAATGCAGAAAAGAAAGAAATGTTAATCAGAAACCGAAACTCCGGGTCTAGACAATTTGAAGAGTTAAAAGAAAGCATATTGCACCCCATGGTTCATTTGGAAGTTGTTTTTTGGACCAGTCTACATGGTTTAAGGCAAAGAGTTATAAGAAATTAGTGGAACTGTGCAGAGTTTGGTTCCTTTGCAGGGAGAAATTTGACTGTTGTCTATGAAGGTCACAGTGTGGGGTTAAATTGACTATTTAGATGGTGACAATAAGGAAGAAAAGTATTTTGCATCTTGTTGGATTTTGGTAGTGTATTATGCAATTAAAGTTAATCTAGGTGAGTAATCTGGAATTTATTTGTGGGCTCGTTACGAATTTGGGAGATTGTTTAACAAAATTTTATTTGAAATAAGTGGTCTTCTGATGAAATAAATTGGTAATAAAAAGGGTGTCATTAGAAACTGATGCTAAGGCTTTAGAAATTCTTTTTTTTTTGTCAAAACGATAATGTATTATTAAAACTTGGTACTACAAAAGTTCTACAAATGTGGGCAACTGCCTATCAGATCATCTTGTGCCATCTGTTTGAGCCACTGGGGACAGCTAAGCTTCCATATTATATTCTTCACTAATGTTGACGCAAATTTTGCTACATAATAACCTAGACAATTCCTTTTCCCACTAACAAACTTGAAATTGCAAACTGAAAACCAATCTGCTAACTGAATGATGTCTTCCACTATAGTTGTCACTGTGTGGTCCTCAATTCTTCTTTCTTTTATCATGTTGACCACATTTTTACAGTCAGATTGCAATTCAATTTTCGTCTATCCTGCATCTTTTGCCATCAGCTGAGCCTGTTTGATTGCTGCAGCTTCTTCCACTATTGCTCTTCCTTTCTTTAGTTCCTGCACTACCCTCACTTCTACTAGTTCCCCTTTCCAATTTCTTGCAACTATCTCAAGTCCCGTTCTGATCTTCTTTGCAGATACAGCAGCATCCTGTTAATTCTTATTGTGTCACACTGGAGAGGAGTCCATCTTTGGTTTATCATTTGTTGTCTTGGTTGGTCTTCCATTTTCTCCAGATTCCCCTTGTTTACCTCTGTGTGTTCCATCCATTTTTTCTGAGCTCTCCTGATGGTTGAGTTGCTGTCCATTCTGTTGCCCTCGAACATGAATTTGTTTCTTGGTTTCCATATTTGCCAATGTATATTGACTATGAGTTCCAAGTGCCCCTCTCTGTTCTCCACTTTGCATGCATCTATAAGACATTCCCACCATCTCCAAAAATTAAACCTCAGATCATTCAAGCCTTCCCACTGTAATGGTGCTAATTTCCATGTCTGTTGCGTATTGGTGCAAGAAGAGAACGTGTTCAAGAGTTTCTACTTCCTCTCCACAACATCTGCACATAGGATCACCCATTTTTGTTCTATGGAATATGCATTTTTGAACCGAGAGTACTCTTGTAAGCATTTCCAGAGAAAATGTTTATGGCTTATGTTTAATGTTCAGGTTCCACAAACCTTTCCAAACTTTATCCTTCCTAGGTCCAGTACTAGCCTCCTCATGCTTTTCTTTTTCACACTGGAGTTTCTTCTTCCTCTGCTTAGCTAGCATAGCCTGTTTTCACAGTATACACCCCAGATTTGGAATGTCTCCAGTACATCCGGTCCTTTCTTTGGAAGCAACTGATATGAATTCTTTGTATTTGCTCTACATTTTCCTGACAAAAAGTTTCCTTCAGTAACTCCATATTCCACTTGCCACCTGATAAAAGTTGATTGACTGTTTTCACTCTACAAACTATAGGTTTTCCGTTCTAACATTGCCCTCATCTGTATTAGATAGCCACTTATCATTCCATATATCCACTGCATTCCCGTCTCCAATCCTTTTCATTATTCCTTTGGCTAGCAATTCTCTTGCACTGGATATACTTTTCCATACCCAATAATCACTGTTATTTACCTTGCTTTCAAAAAGGTTTCTATCTCTCAAATACCTGGCTCTGATTACTTTGCTCATCTGCAGGTTTGGTTGAATTAAAATCCTCCAACATTGTTTGGCCAGGAGAGCTTCATTAAAGTTTTCTAGGTCCCTGAACCCAAGTCCACCATTTCCTTTAGTTTCAGTGATCTTGTTCCAACTTACCCAATGCATTCTTTGTCTGTATTCGCCATTTTCCCACCAAAAATTTGCAATTCTTTTACAGATCCACTTGGAAGCTTGAAGCATGATGGTATTCAAATCTTAGTCTCAGCTTCTAGAAATTATAGAAATTTACAAGAAAGCATCATTAGAGGTTGCTTTTGGTGATTCTACAAGGTTTAAGCAAAAAGTACCAGTACATACAAGGCTTAGAAGTTAGGTGAATTGTTTAGAGCTTTGTCCTTTGCGTGCAAATATTGGACTCTCATTTAATGACTTTGTACTGTAGCATTTGATTTGAATATTGTAATGGGCCACCAGTTGAACAAAGTATATACGCATCTCATTGGATTCAGAGATTTTGTTGGACTCTCGTTAATTTTGTGAGTCACTTGGAATGCATCTGGGCTAGTTAAAAATCTGGAATATTGTCAATAGATTTCAGATAAGTACTGTATAGGAGGAAAAATGTCAATTAGAAACTCAACCTTCGGTTTCTGAAAAAATGTTCATTTTGAGCAGTGATTAAATAGAACATACTAAGTTTGGTTAGAAGTTTGCTAGCGGTGTGCAGAGTATTCTTACCATTTTTCAAGGATTACGGCAATGATCAAATAGAATATACTACGTTTAGTTAGAAGTTTGCTAGTATTGTGCAGAGCTTGTATCCTTTGCATGTGATTGGGGGACTCATATACAAGGACATTACACTTCAGGATGGTGACATGAGCAGCTAAGTATTGCATCTTTAGGGATTCTAAGTTACTTGGGATATATATGTGGGTTTGTTACAAGTTTGAGTACTAGCAATGGAGAAATTCCAGAGATTACAAGAAAGCATATTGTACCAAGGTCCATTTAGGAAATTTATTTTACAAGGTTTAAGGCAAAGAGTAACCAGAACATAGTGGGCTTAGTAAGAAGTATTGACCTCATATGCAATGAGGTTTGCTTAAGCGTTTTGATTTGAGTATTCGTGTCGGTGACAAGTTGAACAAAGTATATGGGGCATCTTATTGGATTCCAAAATTTTGTTTGACTCTAATTAGTGTAGGTGAGTGACTTGGAATCTATTTGGACTCTTAACACAGATATATCTCATTTCTGTTCTATTTTTATTGAATCCAATTTGTCCTGATGCTTATATTGAGATTTTAAAAAGAGAAACTAAGGACTTACCTGACTTGTCAAAGATTTTAAAATTGGCTGCAGAAAATTTCTTTAGTTGTCAACCAGCAACAAATACTCGATTCCTGATTTGAACTTTGATTCTTCACCTGTGACAATATGCATGACCAACCTTCTTCGGTTTGATAAAATACCATTGGCCATTTGAGGATCTAATGTTTAACTGTAGAAGGTTGAGTCATCCCCTATGACACAACATAACTTGCTCAGTACGAACTCCCTTGTCCGGTTCCCCAACTTCACTTTCATCGTTTTTGTTTTCCTTTTTCCAATTGTTGGTTTTAACAGTATACAGTTTTCCGTTCAACAGGGGGAGAAAGGTCTCTCCAAAGAAAATGGAGCAGCCCTTTTGGGTAAACTTTCTATTCTTGATTGCATCTGATTAGATTGACGTGAAAGTAAGTATATCTACTTGTTTGTATTGTTCTTAGATGGTTGGTTTTCTTTTTATTCTGCAGTTACCTTTCTCTGCAAGAGTAAAAATCTCCAGTTAGTCTTTCTCTGCACTGGTTCTGTGATATTGCTCTAAGCTTGGATTTTTTATCTTCCAATACTAATCGCAAATACAAATATTTATTCTTCCTCTGCTGCTGAAAGCGTGCAGCTACAAACGGTTAGTTCTCCTAAGGTGCGACGAGGTACTTTTACCAAAATAGTAAAATTTTGAACCACTCTATCGTACAAAATAGTAAAGAATCCTGCAAAAAGCAATTATGTGATGGCTGGTCCTTACTGATTTAAGTATAAGACTAGGTAGACCTACTGAGCAAATATGGAAAGAGGCGCAATACCATGAACGATTATGATGAATACATATTGTAATTTTGTTCATTAACACGAACGATGTGAGCTTGGGTTAGCTCAAACAGGGCTCATAGCTTAAAATCTTGTCGTGAGTCAAGAATGAGCAACACATTCCCGAGTCTTATTGAGCTGAGTTTGGATTTAAGAATATGATCTACTATATGAGATGAATTCCGGCCTATGTTACATGGACCTGGGGGGTGCGAGAGTCCATTATAGGTGTTGCATCTATGTCGAAGTATCTGATCCTAGTATTTGAAAATGATGGGATCTAGGGATATGTGTTCAAATTCAGATATGGGTGCAGAGATTCGTTTCTTATACTCATAGGTGCACCTATCAGTATATTTAAAAACAAATCATTTTAAAATTTATCCACAATCATATTTGAAACTTGTGCTAATAAAAAGTTCAGTTAGGTTGAAATAAGAAGGACGTCTATGCATTTATATATAGAGTGTGTATATCTGATTTAGTATCATCATCCACAAACTGCAATTTAAGCAGTACTTTCAGAAATGCAGTACCCGTGAATCTTGTTTTGGGCTTCTGCTCTCACAGTCGAAGCTAAGCCATTCATATATATAACAACAACTTTATATAAATCCCAAAAACTCATCTTATTTAATTTGCATGCTGATCATGTCTCACCAGGTAACATTAAAATGAAAACTAGAATTAACCAGGCACGATTCAGTTGTGGATTCCACTTCAAGAACAATCTAAGAGCAGGATATTTGACTGCTAATGGGTTTAAAGGGGTATTGATTATCGGCTGCATAATTGAAACTGAAATTGCCGTGTGTAACGCCATAATAGATCGGCTGGCCACCGTTAACAAGGCAAGAGCTGCCACCGTTTTGGGATAGGACAGCGGGATTAATCTTTTCAACGCTTTGAAAGCCGGAGCAAGACAACTTGACCTGGGTTTGAGTGCAAGTACAATCGTTAAAGATAGTGAGTTTGAACTCCGGTTTGGATTGTACTTTTGCCCCTGTTGGAGCCTGCAATATGATCAGACTTGATAGAGAGCATCCCTGAGCATTTGCAGTGCCTGCAAGTTAAAATAAATTACTACTACCAATTAACAATATAACATATATTATTTATTAATTCCAAAGAAAAACACATTATACACATATATATAACTAATGATGAAATGCATGCATCAAAAAACATGGAGTGTATGTATATATATATATATATATATATATATGTATATAGTAAGCCAAATACATGCATTGTATGTCAAAAGCAGACCAGCCAAAAGTTTTGAAGTTGATAACACTACTATTTTATCTTCCACTTGAAAAACAAAGAAGATGTTTTCAAGTATAGATTTTAAAGAAAAATTTATCAATACACATCTCTAATTTCTTTTTTTTTTTTTCCAAAAACACAGCGTGCACACGTGTATATGTATATGTATATTTTCTAAGATTCTTTTCAAAATCTGCTGCAATGGATATAATGATGCATTTAGAAACTATACCTGCGCTCAATAGACCAAGAAAGAGAGGCAAGCAAAGGATCTTGAAAATGGCTGCCATCTTCTTTGTTCTTGTCTCTTTACAATGATTCTAAATCTCAAAGTGTGCTACTTTTACCTGCATATGCATAATAGAACTTGGGAATTTATATATGCAAGACTTTCAGATATATATGGAAAAACGAGCATTGGAGGGTAAGAATTAATATGCGTGCGAAGGGGGATCCATATATATATGAGATGATCTATTGACAGTCGACCAGCTTCAAAGGTTTCTGTCTTGGTTATCAATGAAAAAATTAAGACGCCAAAGATTTTTGCTAAAAAAACAAACAAAGAATCTCTCCATGCATATAAACCCGATTATATTTCATTAAATTAGAGGTTTTATTAAATCAGCGGTGCATTTGACACATTGTATCCAGTTGCATATCCCAATTAGAAAGAAAAATAAACCTGATATTATTTTTTCTTAACGAAAGCACTTGTTAAGGGAGGCACTAGGTGATCGACTTTTTTTCTTAGTATGGTAAAGTGACTAAATACAGATAGTGGAATTAATGTGATTGCATGCATTTATATAGCAAATTAGATACAATTGTCAAAAAAAAAAAAATCCTTTAAAAGATGGAGAGTTATTAATGTACTTTTGATTGACATCCCAAATTTCCACTTATTGTGATTTCATATCATTTCTATTTGAAATGTCCCAGATTGCGTTGTTTTAAATGTTAAAAGAAGATTCTCATTAGCATATTAATTCCCTTGATTTCTGTATTTAAAAGGCAATCACTTTCGGTTTATATTTGATTCTCATTAATTTATTTCCCGCAATGATTTGTATCCTCATTTATAGATCTCTTTTTGTTTCCCAACTTTTCCCTACATTCTAACCTAAGTTCTCCCAAACCACAAGCCTAGCCATATTTCGGACTGGACATTTTTTGCCATCACAAAATGAGGTGTTTTTGGCCCACCTTTTTTTTAAAACGGCCTTTGCAACACCCAGCTCCGTCTTAACAAGCCCAAAATTCATCTAAAACTACCCATTTGTTGCTGTAGCAATAGATGAATCACCTACCCATTCTTTTTCTTTAGTCAATGCTAGGATTCTGCTGTAGTTATGAAATTTATCTTTATGTCATCTTATTTGGTTGCCCATTAGGGCCATTGGAATTAAGGATGTTGATGTTGATCAAATTAAGCATTCTTATCATATGGATACGAATCAACAAAAAAAAAGTTGTTGGGAATGAGTAGAAGTATAATAATGGAACCATCCACCGTTGGGAAGGAACCTGCAGCCTAGACAAGTTGATAATCGTAATACCCACACAGTGCTTTCCTTGGTAAGAAATTTGGTTAGGAACTCAAATGCGTAGCCGGTACCTGATTTTATTGACTGATTGATTGAACCCGAATCAATAACTACACATTCTCTAATCATTTACCATACCATACCCTACCTGCAGCTTGTTGACTTGGAGCTCCAACTCAAAAAGATATACTACAATTAAGGGCAAACAAAGTTCAGTGGCACATCATTTGTTTCATCACCAACCCAACTTGGATGTGTTTGATAATCCATCATTCGACATCGACATCTGTGATCCATCTTCGATGACTTCTTGAAACATGAAGTAAAGATTAAAATATCATAAAAGAAAAGAAAAGGAAAAATTGGTTCTTATATTGACCTCGATCTACTAGCCAGTCTGCAACTGGCGTGGCCAATATCACAACATATTTAGCGAGGTGCATGGGCTTCTGTGTAGTAGATTATCATGTTGTCATGCATTAGTTACTTCTCCTTTTTTTTCTTGCCCCTTTTATCCGGATTATGTCTTTTTCAATACAGTATAAGAGTTCTTGCATACACAGTTGAACAGCAATCTAACTATCTGAATTGCCCATAACCATCATCGTTTTTATCTGTCTAGCAGTTGTAGCTTGCCAGCAATTAAACGTTCCACCAAGTTGCAATTAGGAATTTGTAAGACAATCAAGCTAGCTACCCGTGATTTATCTATGTTTCTTTTTGTTGCAAACAGAACACTACTGGTTTGCATATTGACATAAATTCAACACATTCTTCTGGCATTGAGGAGTTGGGTTAACATCGTATTCCAGGCATCTCCTTTGGAACCAGACAAAGAAGTCCTTCAGCTTTTTAGAATGTGTGACAAGCAGAAGGTTTAGCCCCAAAAGAGAAGTAAGATTTGTTTTTGATATTGCTAACCTTCTGGGGATTCGATCTTTAGCATCGTCCTACATATCTAATGTTGCTGCTTGGATCGTATTATGAAAGTGACAACCCAATATTTCTGGCAAAAATTGAGAAAAAGAAAATTAGCGACTAGCTGCATCAATAATTAGAAATGGCAAACTTTAAAAAAAAAAAAAAAACAAAGGGAAGTAAGAAATAAATAGCAGAGACACCCACGGTGATGGAATCATGTGCATTTAGGTGTACATATAATGTTTACAGTCAGTTTCCGATTGGTGAATGCTAGCAATAACCAACTTTTTCTTTTTTTAATCTGTAGTAAGTATAACTCAATAGCAATGTTGTTAACTTGTTGGCAATTAAATTTTTCTAGTGTGCAGAGTCAGGGACGCAACTGCAAAAGTGAGAAAATCAACCGTGATTACTTGCCATTTCTTGAAAACACCTCACAAAACTGCCTATTGACATATATTCAAGAATATTTTCCAGGCATTTGAGGTGTTTTTTGAGGAGGAGGAGGAGGAGTCAAGTGCTAAGGTACATCATATCCAGGCATCTCCTTTTCAGGAATACGAGAATATGCATATTTTCAGAGAATGACAAGAAGAAGGATTAGCCCCAGTGAGAAGTAAGATTTGTCCTTGACATTTAGGGGTTCTTTAGTATTATCCCAATTCCCACGTAATACAGCTGTTTGTAATATCACAGTCGTATGAAAGTGACCAGTGACCACACAGCAATACTCTGAAGCAGCAAATGTTTTTCCCAGGAAGAAAAGAAAATTACAGTGATTGAATCATGTGCATTAATGTACAAGATTTACAGTCAGTGAAACCGATCGGTAGTAATGGCTGTTATAATAAAAGATAAGAAATGATGGTCCTTGAAGGGATCTTGAAGATGACATGTATATGTTTCTAACAGTTTCCCAATCTTTGAATTGCATAAGAACATGGTAATTAAACGGGTAATTAATCATCCTTATTTTTAGACATTGTCCTATTTAGGTGGATAGGTCCAACAGGTAATTAAATGGTCGCTACAATCTGTTATATCAGGTAAAAGCTATTTAGTTATCATACAGCATTTTCCAAGAACATGTTGCTGCCAAGTGAAAATATGTCTTGTGTGAATAAGATTTTTGCGACAATATAGAATCTTAATTTTGAACTCGTCACTGCTGAATAAGTGCAAATCATGTTATTAGCATACTAAAGCTTGTAACCTTTTTCTCGAGCTAGTTAAACAGGTGCAACCCGTATCCAAACCACGTTCACCTTCTCCATGTAGGACTCGGGGAGTATTAGATAATCTAATCCCACGACCAATCCCGCAACCAATCCCCTCTCCGGGATAACCGAAAACTGTTGTGTGGGCAGTCCAAATTCGGCGGGGCAAGGATGTAGCCAGCGAACAAGAAGCAACAGAGGCAGGCGGGACTTATCCCCTGTTTTACCTCCAATGCTTGCGTAGCAGGAGATTGTTTGTTGTTACCTCAAACAGAAGAGATTTATGGTTTTGAGACTCCACTTGCATATGAGAAAGTGGATTTGACATGATTATTTGGCGGCTATTTGCGACTTTACGATACCTTTTTAGCTGTTTAGGTGTGATTACGAGTCAAATTAGTTATATTGTAAGCCTTTTTTCCCTGGAATAAAAGGTCTAAATGACTTCAGAAGAATATATTGGGAACAATCAGTTTGGGGTTCTGAGCCTTTTCCCAGAACAAAAAGGTACTTCTAATGTAAACATCGTTGTCCTTGTAGGTACCAAACCTAAAACATGGGTATGAACTACTTCGACCTTCATACAAGGAAAAAGGGGTCCTGTGCCTGTTGCTGCTGCTGACAAAATATTCTCTCTTTTTTTAGAAAATATCACTCGTCAATTTCGTACCCACAAAACAATTGTAGTTGATCACTTGAGTTGAGTGTTGGGCTGTTCTAAATTAATCATCCATTCTTATTTTGGTTGTTTTTGTGCCTTAAAATGGTTGCGTTCATAATCTCATTTTTAAGCCAAAATGATGTCTAATAATGGAAACTTTTCCTTCATTTTTTTTTTTTTTTTGCTTTGAAAGAATTAAACATGGCAGGAACAGAATTTATTTATTTCATATATGAGGACTCAATTAATATGTTTGAAAATGTAATGTAATGCCAGTTTTGTCAAATTAATTACAGCGGTAACATATCAAACATTGCATTTCCAAACTGCATGCCCTTAAGCTCTAAGGTTACACAGCATCTTTCCTAAACTAATCAAGGACTAGTATCTTCCTTTTTCTTGAGATCAAGTATTAAATGATTAATGAAAGCATATTAAACTGCAAGATTAAAGCTGGCTCAAGTTGAGCTCACTGTATGGTTCCATGTCTTAGAAGAGTCAAACATGCAGCCTCCACCAGTTGATAATTTCCCATCCCCATAAAATTTCTCAAAATCAAGAAACGTCCAGCACCAGATAAAACTCCCAACTTGCAGTACTGTCTCAACGTACCTGCCGGAGCAGCTAAAAATCCTTGAGTATGTGCTTTTCTATTCAACTTTGGTGAGAATCAAGATTTAGCACCATCCCATCTGCCAGTGACATCATAAGAGTCTCCTTCATTCACTACTACCTGCTTTTTCCTGAATCATCAATCGTTGTTGAATATTACTTTCTTCAGTATATATACGTACACACCTCTAGTCCTTTTAGATGGCTTCTTGTGCAAAGGCTGCTGATAAGTTTGCTCCAAATACGCTACTCTACGAGATGGCCTCGTTGTTGAATATTCTGGGGTTGTGTCTATGGCTTTTCCTAACCTGCCAAGACTCTAAGAAAGTAGTTTCCCAGAACATCACTCAGGGCAGTTTGTTTATTGATGGCTCGGCCTCAGTTGGGTCGACGGACGAAAACTTCATTTGTGCTACATTGGATTGGTGGCCCCCTGAAAAATGTGACTATGGCAGTTGTAGCTGGGGGAATGCTTCTCTTCTCAATCTGGTGGGTTTGCCGCTTCTACGGTCTTCTGACTTTTCTTCTTCTGGTTCTAGTTGCTTATTTCTATCCTGTTTCTTTGTGGTTTTGTATTTGTAGTTAGGTCCTTTTCTAGCCGCCTTCCTTCCCAGAGGATGCTTAGTCAACAATATGTTAATTTAGAGACCTGAATCTCCCTTGACATTGTCCGAAAGTCATCTTTGTTTTTGGTGTAGAGTTCACCAGTCAATATAAAAGGACGGACGCCGCCGCCGGGCCCCCGGGCGGGGGAGGGGAACCTCTTTTAGGTTGTTTGTTTGTCTTCACCGGCCGGCTATGGAGTATGACTGAGAGAAAAAAAAAAAGGCACTTTCTTTATTTGGCTCATTTCATAAATTTAGTAGTATATTTTAGCACCTAAGAGTGCGAACTCAACACAGTACTGTTATCGGTCTAGATGAGAAAAATGTTGATTCAACTTTGTTCTTATTTTCTTGAGCCATTTAATTATGCAACTCGTTTACTGATACATGGTCATGTTTTCTTTAGTATATTTTCTCTACTCACCTGTAATTATGTGTTAAGACACTGCGATTGATTAGTGATGGCCTCTCAGGAACAAATGCTTAGCTTGAGTAAACTCTATCCAACCTTCTTTTATTAATTCTCAAAATCGTGTGTTTCCTTAGGATCTCAGCAACAAGGTTCTGTTAAATGCAGTCAAAGGTATGGGGTCTATCACCATCTTCACAAGTCACTGACTGTTTTTAAACAATCATATCCATCAGAAAACAAGAAGATATAACTGAGCTCATACCTCCTTGCAGCCTTTTCTCCCCTGAAAATTAGACTTGGAGGAACTCTGCAAGATAAAGTCGTCTACCAAAACGCAGATGGACCACGATCATGCAACGAATTTGTTAGGAGCATGGAGATGTTTGGTTTCACTGAAGGCTGCTTACCCATGTCAAGATGGGATGAACTTAATAAATTCTTCACATTAGCGGGGTAAGATTCCACTCAACATTTTCTTTCTTAAGGAATCTACTCACCAATTGAATCCCCAAGTAAAGAAAATAAAACTTTACAGAAATGTCAATCTTGTTAATCCAAATAAGCCTACTGAATCGGTTGCCTTTTTTCCTACCGGGGCTTTGTAACAGGGCTGAGGTCATTTTTGGTTTGAACGCATTACATGGAAGAACAATAGGTCCTGGTAATAATGTTATAGGTCCTTGGAACTCCAGCAATGCTGAATCTCTGATAAGATATACTGTCAGCAACAACTATACCATCTATGGCTGGGAACTTGGTAAAACCTCTTATCCGACATTTGTCATACATCTGACTCCTGCATTGAATCAACTGCAATCACCTATAGCAAATGATAAGAGAAAGGGCACTAGAAAAGAATTGCGATAAGAATGGCAAGAAATTATCTTTCTCAGTATTTTTACACCACCTTAGCTGGATTAAGATCAAAGATGCACTAAGCAAGTCTTTTCAGCCATTTCAGATATATAACTAGGCATAACTATTTGCTAATTGATGCTTCAGGAAATGAATTAAGTGGAAATGGAATCGGAGCAAGTGTTGCGGCAGATCAATATGCATCAGATGTGATTCATCTTCAGAATATCGTGCAAGATGTCTACAAGGACTTCCAGAGTAAGCCACTAGTCCTGGGGCCTGGAGGATTTTTTGATGCTGGATGGTTTTCCCAGTTCATTAACGAAGCTTCCAACTCTCTTCAAGCTGTTACTCACCACATTTACAACCTCGGTCCAGGTACAGCATCTCTTTTCTCACTCAGCCAATCGGCAATTCAAGTTTAGCTTTGCTTTGCTATGTTCTCTCTGCTCCGTCTGCTGCTTCAATGGCATGACTACTCTCCAACTGAACTGAAGCTCTTCTTTCGTGTAGGAAGTGATGATCACCTGGTTGACAAGATACTCGATCCATCAAACCTTGATGGTGGCTCGCAGCCATTCCGTGACCTTCAGCGCGTCCTCAAAACTTCAGGAGCCTCAACAAAAGCATGGGTTGGTGAAGCAGGAGGGGCATATAACAGTGGGCGTAATCTTGTAACTAATACATTTGCCTTCAGTTTCTGGTAAATTGAATCCGTTTTCAAAGTTCTTTTTTCCTTCTAACAAATGAATGATTCAGTTAGTCCTCAAACAAATAATCTTTTCTCTGTGATCATTAGGTACTTGGATCAGCTTGGCATGGCATCCTCCTACGACACAAAAGCCTACTGCAGACAAACACTGGTTGGCGGAAACTATGGTCTACTCAACACTACCACATTTGTCCCTAATCCTGATTATTACAGGTAATTTTGAATCAACACAGATACACTCAAGCGGCATACTTACAGAATAAATTTCAAAAGAGAGTGCCAAACTATTTGCAAACCTTCCTAAGTTGGTTCCTGACTAATGTCTTAAATTTTTACGTCTACATTCCTCGTGCAGTGCTCTTCTTTGGCACCGTTTAATGGGAAGGAATGTCCTAGCAACAAACTTGACAGCAATAAAGAACCTACGTGCTTATGCTCACTGCTCAAAACTTTCTGTACGTACAATATGTATTGCTTCAATGAATAAACCATAAAGCAACGTTGCCTAGAGAAGTTTGGAGTAGATATGATGTTTGTACAGTTCTATTGTGCATGAGTCCTTGCTATTCAGTTAGATTTCTACGACGACTAATCTGTTAAAGATTAAATGGTGCAGCATGGAATAACAGTCCTCTTGATCAACCTAGATGCTTACGCGACAGTTCAAGTTGGTCTCTCAGTACAAAATACCATCCCCACAAACAGAACCTCGATATGGCTGCTGCATCAACATTCCAGGCACGGAAAGTTCACAAGGAATAACCTTGATAGCAGCATGAGAAAAGAATACCACCTAACAGCAAAACACGGCAATATAC